AACTGACTCCATCAAGTATTCTATAAGTAGCACAAAAGAGTCTCATCTCTGACATGTTGGACCTCCCTTAGTGGGGCAACTCAAGAAGGAGTCTATCTATCTAACAAGTCTGAATTTCTCTTACTTAGGATTGTAAGGTATTTGGTGTCGGTTCCTCAAACTTAGGACTGCCTTGGACCACCAATGTGAATTCTGTTGCAGCCTCCTTCATCGTCGTATCTTGAACAACGTGTTGTTCTCCCTCATCAGTTAAAATATGGTTCTTATATTTTGTGTCCACACCTTCTTCAGTATCTACTATGTCATTGCTCATTTCTTCAACAATCTCTTGCTTCGTGAAATATATCGTCTCCCTGGTTGTGCAATCTACTCCAATATACCTTATATTCATGGTACTTGAAACATTTCCTAGGTTGGACGGATTTGGGGATGTCAATTGGTGCTTTTTGTTCTCCACTCTGAACTAGTGTCTCCTCAGGCAAAGTCAACTTGAATGTTCCCCTATGTGTATTCAAGTTGTAAGATTGATGCGGGATTCGGGAAAATTGTTATTAAATTAATAATAATGATGCAATGTAACTCAAAAAATAATAACTTTAATGAAAATAATTTATCCTTAATATCTCATTTAAAGTTTCAATTCCCTTTTATATATAACGCAAGTAATGTATCGTTCAAATAATACAGGGCTCTAATGGAGTCCTAGATATCGATCCCACAGGGAAGCTGGAAATATATATAAGCTAGTTATTTATATTCTATTATAAACTAAAAATAAAAACAGAGTAAAGTACGAAGTTTGAAGTTAAACTACTTAAGTGAAGTGCTACTAAATATGCAGATGTACGACTATAAGAAGAAATTAAGACGACTATAACAAGAAATTAAGCTAGATGCTAAACTTTCAAAAGTAAATTGTTGAAATAAAATAAAGGTTTATTTTGACGAAAAGTTAAAGTAAAACTCAAAAGTAAATTGTTGAAATAAAATAAAAGTTTTTTTTGACGAAAAGTTAAAGTAAAACGAAACATCATTCCCCTTTACAATGAAAATTCCCCTTACAATGAGCATATGGATTGTGAAGAAATTAAAATCATTTTGAAATATATATTTAAAAATTATTTTGTGTCAAATAGGAGCAATCTTATTATCTACCGTCTCCCGAACGCTATAAAGAACATGATTAATCCAGAGTTTGATCCCATATCACGTGGTTAGGCTGGGAGGATACCGGCTGTCACTCCAGAGCTCCCACTACTCCCCCACCTGAGGGCTAACATGCTCGCATTAGTTTCCAATCAACTGAACCAAATTGAGGAATCTAATCTGTCACCTTAAAATCTTTCAATTTTACATCCAACGAAGTATATTTTCTTATTTATTTGCATCCAATCTCATGGATAAAATACTCTCTCATGAAATCAAATGTGATTCACTCTTTGTTGTAGAAATCATATCCCCTCTTCAGAACATATATTTCTCAACACTTTCTCAACACCAACACATTTTAACAATTCAATTTGTCAAATCGAAAAGTAAATGAAGATCGGAGTTCAAATCATCATAAATTATTGACATTTAAAATCATTAAAAACCAAATCAATTCTTCACAAAACCATTTATTCAAAGTATGGAGAACGATAAAGAAGACTACTCATAATTCATGAGAAGTATACGACGGATTTCATATATAAAAACAAGTTTACAAACAAAAGAAATGAAAAATAAAACTTAACTCACACTTCCCAAGCAAATCCCTAGAAGTTCTCTATAAGTCTTTCCCTCTTTACAATCACTCCTAATTCTCTCTTAGAAATGTAATAAAGAAGAAATCTCTCACATTTTCTCTCCTCTTACAACTCTAGAAGAAAATCTTCTCTTCTCTCTCTCTCTCTAGCTCACACCAATTCTCTCTCTCCCTCTCGTCACACTCTATAAGTCCACCTTCCCTTTCGGTTGCTTCCTCTCAAAAGAGTTTCAATTTCCCTCGAAAATTCAAAAGTCAAAACTTTGAATTTCAAAAGATGTGTCTCCTTGATCCAAGAAAGAGTCATATCCCTTCAAATTGGAACCTTCCACCAAATTGGAACCTTCCATAATGTCTAAATGCATTGAATCACTCCATGGAGTGCTTAGAACAAGTGTCCCTTTGAAAATTCGTACAAGATTCGTCTCGAACCACCTTAATTTGAAAATGTCGCGCCTCTGGATTTTGGCGCATCATGTGTCAAACCCCAAAATTGGTTGTTTTTGTTCCAAATTTCGCTCCTTTTGCCATTTTTTTCTCCAAATGTCTAAAAGTGATATATCTGCAACAAAAACACAAAAATACATTTCTTTAAAGTGTAATATCATCAAAAATAGACATAAAAAGGTACTTAAAACAGTATATTTTTTTTTTGTATTAATGATCAAGGGTTGAACCCTATTATAAGATGTGGTAATCACCCGGTTATGTGATCTCTCCACTTTTGAAGCTGGATTCTGAACATCTGGTCTGACATGAGTTGGAAGGAACAAGTGTTGCATGTCCAGTGTCATCTTATAGACCAAATAGTAATTTTACCCTTTCGTTCTCGCTGTTGAAGAAACTTCAAGTCCGCCCACCACTGAGATGTGCTCCTCCTCAGCTTGTTGTCAACTAGTCTCGCAATTTCATCCGGTGGGACGTCCTGGGACTCAAAAATACATTCCAAGATTCAGCTCGTCTGGGTCAATGTGGTCATCGAAATATGACAAATCCACATTTTTCTCCAATATTTCATGTCAAATCTTCGAGATAGTGTTTTTTATCTCGAGGATATAATGAAATTTGTGAATCTTCTTTCTTCAATTTGATTTGTTTTTTATCTCGAGGATATAATGAAATTTGTGAACCCTCTGGATGATCTTCTTTCTTCAATTTGATCGAGCTGTTGTTGCACTCGGCAAAGTTTCGTTGTATCTCTTCCATGATAAACTCATGATCGGCGTCGGACATATATCACCTTAGTTGCATGATCAGGTTTATGGCTGCATGGGTGGAAGGTGAAAGGAGGTGTCTAGGGTTAGCGTGGGGAAATGGAAAAAAAAAACTTTAATTTTTCGGAGAGGGGAGAGATAGGTTTGGATATAGCGGATGCTAGACACCATAGGATAGGACTACGGTTATGCTAGCTTTGATATCACATAATACTAAAATTAACCCAAACTGCAACAGGAAAAGTAAATATTACTAATAGTGATTACAACCAACACACTTGAAAGGGAAATAACAATAGCAAGCACAACTAAAGTGCATCCCAAAAATGGTGGTGGTGGTCGACGAGGGTTTAGAAGGTGACGCAAGGGTGAAAACGGCGGTTGTCAAGAAGAAAAAAGTAAAGCGATTGTTTCCCCGGTGTCGGAAAGCAATCAAACAGCGGTGAGTGATGTGAGAGGGCAGTTTGGGGTGATAGCAACAAGGATGGAGGACTGAAATGGTGGCGGCAGCAAAGAGGAAGAGCTAGACAGCAGCGAAACGGCTGGAGAGGGCGGTCCTGAGTTTCAACAGCAAGGAAAATGAGCGGCGACAGTAAAGGAAAGGAGATGCAGCAATGGCAGAAAGTTGGAATAGGGTAAACGCCTGGTCGGGCGGTCGAAATAGCAGAAAACAGTCGAAAAAGGTTGTTTCCTACAAATATTGCATTTTGCATTACTAATTTCAAAAGTTACAAAAAGTATGCATGTATGCACCTATCATGTAAAAAAAATGTGGTCTATCATCTACAAGTATAGAAGAACAGATGTTATCTTCATCAACAAGCATTAAAACAAAAGAGTCATGAAGAGTAAGCTTAGCACAAAAATGAGTCGCCCTATTACATTTACAGGGCTTATGAAAAAAACAAAACATACTTGAAGTTCACAAAAAAAGACAAAGTCGGGAGCTTTTCATGTGGTCGGTGACCAAACATCCCTCTTTATGGTGGACCTAAAAAAGTGCATAATATTGGTAAAACATACTTGAAGTTCACAAAAAAAGACAAAGTCTGGAGCTTCATGTGGTCGGTGACCAAACATCCCTCTTCATGGTGGACCTAAAAAAGTGCATAATATTGGCGGTATCCCCCTCAATGATGATGACCTTACATTCAAGCATCCATGGCGTGCAGATGTCTTGGATAGATCTAACAGATTGAAGTGTCCCAATTTTGAAAATGGGGTTCAGTAGCAATAATACAATTTGCCGCTCAACACGTATAAAGCACCCAATTCCAGCTACCTCGGAAGGAAGGAGAGCACCATCGACATTCAATTTAAGCCATCCATAAAAGGTTGTTTCCTGGCAACTATAGCGAGCGGGAATGATGGCAGTAGCGGCGAGGCAAGACGGCGAAGACGAGCAGCTATGAAGCTGGAAAGGATGGCGGTGGAGGAGGTAGTGATTGAGAGCTGGAGTTGCAGGAAGACAGCCGGCATGTTGTCTGATGGCTCCAGCAATGAGGAAAGGCGACGACGCGGCGGTGAAGGGAGGGTTGAGGATGATGGGAACTTGAGGATAAATATTTCTGCGGGACCGAACTACAGCCGAAGCACCATTTGATCCATGGGAAACGGTTACCACCTTGGACAAATGATAGTCGAAGTAGTTTCTTACCTTCGGATACAGCCCTAGAAGCCGAACACGGCTGTCCTAGACAGAAACATACGAAAAATTGCCCTAAAACACAAAAACAACATATTTATAGTTTACGATAAATAAAAGGTAACCCAATTCCAAATAGGAGAGAAATTCACGTAAGGGAATGGTCTACTGGCTCTGACTCCCGCTACAGTTCGCGGTATTGGAGTAGGGGTCGTAGAGGCGCAGGAAGCTCCCACTCCCGCATCATATAGTTTGCAATAGAGGCACTTACTTCAAAAGAAATTTTGATTCAATATTATAATTTGAAGCTCCAGCAATAAATTAGCTTAAATGAATTACTTTCTAAGCACAAAAAATAAAGAAAAAACACAGCATAAGCTATTAAAAATTATACCTGACGAGTACAATGATTTGACGCAACATCTCCTGCCAAAAGCCGTTGCCTTTTCCAGGTAATTTCACTAGGAGCTCTATAATGTATTACTTCCACAGAAGCATATTCTTCCTTAATGCAAGGAAGCATATGAAATGAAGCACTTCTAGGGATGCAGATATCGCTGATAAAACTTTGAGAGACAGTTAATAAAAGGGATATAAACCCCAGTAGCATAAGCTCTGCATCAAAGCAAATCCAAGTTTTTTGTCAGAAAATAGTCTCATCAGACGGTGTTGCTATTAAAAAGGTCCAGTTCGTGCTTAAGGGAAGGGAATTGAGGTAGATATGATACACATGACCAATGTGCACTGGAAACAATATCAGAAGCAAAACCAAAACCATAAAGACAGAATCAATGGCTCGGCTTAAGAGGAACTATCACCAACTTATAAACAAGAACACTTCATTAGCATGTCTTAAAATAGCATTACAAATTAATGAGATTGCAGTACAAATCGAAAAAGAGCAAAAAAAAAAAAATGCATGTGAACCTGACGTCCTAAATTTAATACAAAGACAACTATAATAATTAAGGGAAATTCACAAACGTAGCACACAATTCTTAGTATTTACATAGCTCACACAAAAACATTCATATTTATATCCACCACACTTTGGTATTTTTAATGTATCCATGAAAAAGTGTATTTCAAAATTTAAAAAGCTGTAATAGTGCTATCTTTTATGTGATATTAAAGATTTGAGAAAGTTTATAAGTGAGATATGTCAATACATAAGAATTGTGTGTAATATATGTGAAATGCCCCAATTATTAAACACAAGTGCCTATATATTTCCACATTAGCATTGCTCAGCACAATAAGACTTGATAGGCTGCATGTCTCAAAATTACTTATGACCAACTTATGAGACCACGGTACAATTTCAATATAGAAAAAGAAACTTCAGGTAAAGCTAACATTCTATTTTAATAGTTAATTCTATAATAATAACCATAAAAAAGCATGAATGTTTTAGCTAACAATACACTGCAATTTTTAAATGCATGCAGGTGACACTCACAGAAAAGGGCCACAAGCATTAATCAGAATATAATCAAAATATTTCATTATCACTATCTCACTTGATGATGGAAGAACATGGGAAATCAAGTGATATCAGGTGCATAAATTTGGAGTTCCTTTATAGAACTACAGTATCACACGTAGAGAACAGTAGACTACAGATTCAATGACACTGTTAAAAAATGAAAACAATCTTCAAATTTGGTTTTATAAATGCAGCAATGGTAGGCAACTACTATATCCTTTAAACATTTACTATCAGTTGGTTCGGTTTCCACCTCATTTGAAATTTTTATTTCATAGTCATAAAAGAGATCTAAAAGCATTGAATTGCCAAGGGGTCACATGCATATGATAGAATTTCTAAAATAAATCGTAGAGTTGGGAGGAAAACAGCACTGCTGACCTTCTTTCAACTTCTCTAAGGCTCGGAAAAGAGCATCCTGGTGTTCATGTTTCAAAAACTGAAAATGAAGATAAGAGTAAGCAATTAAAATTTAAAAGAGTAGAAAGGAAAAGCAATAGATGTAAGGACTTAAAGAGCAAATTTATCAATAAGACCGAAGACATCTCATGCTTATGTATTTATGTATCTCATTATCACACACTTCAAACATTAACCATCCAAGATCGCAGCTGGACTGAGCCACAATTGGTTTATTTAACTTGATTCACTTAAATCTCTTTATGTGTTGGATTACGTTAATTTGGGAGTAGAAAATATGTTAGGTTATGATTTTAATTTTAGCTATGTGTTACAATTATAAAATATTTTAGGTTATGATATTAATTTTAGTTATGTATTACAACTATAAAATTAATAATAATTTTCCTTTATTTATATATAATTTTTTTTAGTAAGTCCTTGTTTAATGTTATTTCTTTAAAACATAGACAGCATACTTTTGAGTGGTATACCTTGAGATGCACAACTTTTAATTTTTTATTATTTGGAGGATAAATACACTATTCTTGATTAGGAGAATTGTCATTGATGCTAATAGTAGGATATTTGAATATTTATTAGATTGTCAATCATGCCTTTCATGTTCAGTTTATCTTATAAAATTGTTCAAGTTTGAATGTTCACATTTAAATGTAAAAATAGTGCAAAAAGTTCTACATTAATTGATGCTATAATTCAAATCTCCCTAAATATTTCATATGATGATATAATTTGTTTCACACTTACAATTATCTTATTTTATATGAAATAAATCATGTTCAAGCAAAACACAAAAATATTGATATGAAATAAACTTTATCGAGTTGTTTCTAGAATATTTATTATAACAAATATAAAACATGCATGATTATGTGTGTGTGTGCGCGCGCCCGCGCGCGCACGCGCGCGTACTACCCATGTATAACAAATATAAAACATGCATGATTATGTGTGTGTGTGTGCGCGCGCGCGCGTACTACCCATGTATTATAATGTATGTATGTATATTGCGGCTGTAGGAGGATATGTTTTTATGCAAATGAATGGATTTTTATTTTCATATAATTATTGTATGTGTTTGTTTGAATATGATGGAGTCACTCCTTGATAATATTAGTGAGGGAACATTAAGTACTCGTGCACGTATATGAAAAAAAAATATTGATATTTAAGTATCTTAAGTGATACATTTTTTAGACGGTGCTCATGATATCAGTATGTTATTGATATAGTAAGATTCATTGATAACATATTAAATATTTATATTGATTTATTAAGAACTTAAGTGACATGCATTTTATTTTATTTTTTCTTGTATTCTTGTAGATTAGAAGTATGAGTATTCATTAGTATTATTTAGTTTATTATTGTTTTAAATTAATATTTCAAATTTAATTAAGTAATAAACAATGAGCGTTAGAAGAGATAATATTTATAGAAGGCGCAGACAATCAAAAACGAGATAAATTTAAATATATTATTTTAATTTAATTTGATTAGTAGCTCTTTCGTTTATTAAATTGTAAACGAATATAGAAATTTTAGTTTTCACCGTCTAGCTGTATGTTCCAATCTTGGTTAATTACAAGTTTCGGGTCGTGTGGTGACAAAAGTGGTATCAGAGCAAGATTCAGAGTTACTTGAAGAAATCTTAAAGAAATAGCTAATAAGATAATTATAAAGGAAATAATTATTATTATAAAATAATTAAAGTTACTTCAAAGTAATAATTAATATTCATTCAAGCATAGTGATACACCCGAAATCATACAAGAAGAGAATCTAAGAGAAAACGAAGAAATACAAACAACTATAAATATGAACACGAATGTCCTCACTCGAATGATAACAGCGATGACTTAACTGATTCAAGAGTCCAGATTACAGTCTATCAGAAGTAACATAGTCGTTGTGGATAAATACTTAAAGATATTTCAAGATCCGCGTCTACCTTTTTTCAAGGGAACTGAAAACCCAATTGAAGCGGAGAATTGATTATTGATCATACAGAAAGTACTAGATAGCATGGCTTGTCGAATGAAAGAAGAGAACCATTGGCGACGTTTATACTGGATGGAGAAGCTGAAAGGTGGTGGCGTGAGTAGTGTCAGGACAGGTTAAGGGACATACCCAACACGATGATAAGTTGGGAAGAATTCGTGGACCTTCTTAGAGAGTGATTCATACCCCTATCCACTCGACGATAAATGCAAGACAAGTTCATCAAGTTGAGGCAATGAGAGAGACAATCATGCAGTATGAAGAAGAATTCACTTCAGTATCAAGATATGTGTCATACTTGATCGCTACTATAGAAGAAAAGTGCTACAGAATCATTTCGGGATTAAATGATTCTATCATACAGTTGTTAGTACCTTTAGGGATCGATAAATACTTGGTATTAGTGAAACAAACTAGAAAGGTGAAGATCGACTATCGGCTTACTCAAAAATGTAAAGAGATGCGCAAAAGGAAAAGCACTGAACAAAAAGACCATATGGATCAATCGAGATGAAGTCCAAGAACAATTCGAGTGGAATTACCAGAGGTATGACGCAGGGTATTGTAGCCACTTGTGTTAAATGTGGAAGACAGCATAAGGGTGAATGTTTGATGAGCTCTAACACTTACTATTGGTGTCGCTAGTCTGGTCATATATCAATATATTATCTGTATTTTGGTCAGAAGAGCGTTGAAGATCAGAAATCAAGTGAAGCTCTTTCAGAGAAGTCTGTAAGCAGGCAGAAAAAGATAGAGCCCATAACTTCAGCTCCGACCCAAGATCAACCAAGACAACCGGTTCAGCCTCAAGTGTATTCCCTCACTCGTAGTGAGTCTGAAGAACCTATCGTTGTTGGTGATAAAGTGATGAGTTTGGAGTTTTCTTATATGTAAGGGTATTTCCTAGCATATTTTCGTGCTTCAGGATTGTAATACGAAGTATAGTTAACCCGCATTGTATCAAATTTTTTATCTTTATAACAATTACCTTTTTATCTTAATGACACCTAAGTGTCGACCTATTAATGAGAAATTACTTGAGGTATGTTTACAAATTCCAAGCATAAAATTTTAGTAAGTCGAGAAGACTGTAACAATCTCTTTTTAGTTACCGAGAAGGAACAAAGAGGGGCGAGAGCAATCGAAGAGCTGAGCAGAAGAGATGAAATGAGGAGTCTAGAAGTTGAAACAAAGTTTCGGGAAACTTAACGAAGGGGAAACGAGAAGGTCGGAAGCCAAGAGGTTACTTTTGCCCTATTAAAAGACACATTTGAGGGAGTGAGAAGTGAGATCGACTTGCCTAAGAGTCGAGAGGCGTGCGAAGAAGAGGAGGACGGCGTCGGACGAGGCAGGCGGTAGCACCGAGTGGTTTGCTATTGCGTCGAACCGCAATTAAAGGAGTCCAGGAAGAAGTTGCAACCCTATTAAGGAGTTTTTCCTTGTGTGTGTAAAAGCTTCAATCGTGCCCTAGCTGACCATCAAAGAAGAGAAGAGGAAGAAAGAAGAAGAGCGGCGGCATCAGGTAGTGATTCTCGCTTGTGTTGCTGTCGTGCGAAGGAGGAGACGGAGTCGCGACTCTGCTGTCGTGCGTAGGAGACCAAAATAGCTTTGTTTAGGGCAACCACCGTAGAGAAAAATTTGGGTACGTAAGACGTACGCAGCACTGCGTACGTCAGGTAGTTTACAGTGAGAGTATTGGGGGTTATATCTGCGTTATACCCCTTGTAACCTCCCTGTAACTTACAAATATATGAAAACAGAAGCGCGGAACTTACAAATATATTCGCGATCCTGTTTTCATATATTTGTAAGTTACAGGCAAGTTACAGGGAGGAGGTTACAGTGGGTATAACGCGAATATAACCCTCAATACCCTCCCTGTAACCTACCTGACGTACGAAGCACTGTGTACGTCTTACGTACGCAAATTTTTCTAAGCCTTGATTTAATAATAAAAATTAATAATATTTGATAATAAGATATATATATATATACATATTTATTGAATAAAAATTTAGCATGATTACATAAATAAAATTTTAACATTCAAAAGATGGAAAGATAATAGTTTATTAAAATAATAAATTAATTAAATTTTATATCATGTTTTAGGCTTTCAATTTTAGAACTCAAGGCAAATAGCAAATTAAGCATCATCAATGTGGGTACCCCTACTCTGAAATTACAGTATTGTTTTAATATCACTTCTAAACCAGTCGTATGGATTGTTATTCATATTTGATTAATGAAATTGACTTTTCTATTATTAAATTTTATCAGTAATCTTGATGTGAATGCTTATAGTCACATATTATAGAATAATTAATGCATTATAGTATTACATGTTGAGTGATATAAAATTTTGAATAATATAATCTACATAAAGTGATTGTAAGTGTAATTGACTATGATGGAGTCACTCATTGATGGTACTAGTAGAAGAGCACTAAGGTACCCGTGCACATATATGGAAAAGAATATTGATATTGAAGTACTTTAGTGATACAATTTTTAGAATGTACTCTCGTGACGGTTATACAGATATAGAATGATATTGGTATGTTATTGATATAGCATGATTCATTGATAACATATTAAATATTTATATTGATTTATTAAAATGTTTAGATGACATCCATTTTGCTTTCTTTTTTATTGTATTGGTGTAGCATAAGAGTACTAGTATTCACTGACATTTTTTAGTTTATTGTTGCTTTAAATTAATACTTTTAGGTTTAATTAAGTGATTAACAATGAGCGTTATAAGAGACAACATTATAGAAGACGCAGATAATCGGTAACAAGATAAATTTAAATATATTATTTTAATTTAATTTGATTAGTGACAACTTAAATTGTAGACGAATATAGAAATTTTAGTTTCCATTATTAGACCATCTGTTCTCATCTTGGTTAATTCCAAGCCACGGGTCGGATCGTGACAGTGGTAAAGTTGTAACAATGGGTGATCAAATCATTAAAATGAGTGAACGTTTTAGATATCTCATGTCGATCGTT